TCCTCTCCTCTCCTCTCCTCTTTTCTCTTTTCATTCCTCTGTTCTCTGGCTTGCAGATGTTGTATCTCATGGAGAAGGAGGCAAGACTGCATGACCAGAGGACATTCATAGTCCTGGAGACCTGAGAGTCACTAATTTTGCCCTCATCTCTTACTTTTCCCCAGGTGAGCACAGGAGATGGACCAACATCCCAACAACACGACCCATGACTGGCCTACGGTGTCCCCAGTGCCCACGGGCAGCGCGGCCAACGGGGATGGACCCAATGGGACCAGGTGCTTTGCAGAACACGTCCCTGAAATCGTCACGGGTGGCATCACTCTGCTCATCTGCCTGTGTGGGCTGGTGGGGAATGGAACCATCCTCTGGCTCCTGGGCTGCCGCATCCCCAGGAACCCCTTCAGCTCCTACCTCCTGAACCTGGCCGTGGCTGACTCCTGCTTCCTCCTCTGCACCTCGGCCTTCCTTGTCATCTACCACGTGCCCATGCTCAGCTGCTTTCAGCCAGAGGTGCTGTGGGTGCTGCCACTGTTTCACTCCATGGTTCTGTTCACCTACAGCACCAGCCTCTATCTCCTCATGGCCATCAGCGTGGAGAGGTGCCTGGGTGTCCTCTGGCCCTTCTGGTGCCGATGCCACCGCCCCAAGCTCCTGTCAGCTGCCATCTGCAGCCTGCTGTGGGCCCTGGCCTGTGTGCTGGCTGGGCTGGTGTACTTCATCTGTGACTTGGGTCACTCTGGGCACTGCCAGTTGGTTCTTGGGACCTTGTGCTTTCTCAACTTCTGCTTTGTCACTCCCATCATGGTTCTTTCCAATGTCATCATCTTCCTCAAGCTTAGGCGTAGCTCTTGGCAGCACCACCCAGCGAGGCTGTACATTGTCATTGTCCTCAGTGTTCTCTTCTTCCTCCTCTTTGGCATCCCACTCACTGTCCAGATCTTCCTCAACTTCTTTATCTACATCAACTTGGTCTTTGAGATCTGCCTGTTGCTGGCCTCTCTCAACAGCAGCGTCGATCCCGTGATTTATGTCCTGGTTGGGAGCTTTGGAAAGTCCAGGTTCAGGAGATCTGTCAAAGTGGCTCTTCAAAGGGTCTTTGAAGATAGGGCAGATTCCCAAGAGGTGGGGGAGATCCCTGTGATGGGAATTGCTGCGTAAACTCCTACAGCTGCAGATGGGCACCTGGAGAGGAGCAGCCTGGCCTCTGTCCCTGGAGCTGAGGATGTTGCTGTGCTCCAGGAGGTCTCCAAGGGCAGGGCTGGTTCTCACCTCAAACTTATTTTTAAGTTATTTTAATAAAAAGTCTGAATCCTGATGATTGCTGTTTCTTCCCTTCCTGGCTCCAGGGGTGGAGCTTGCTTTCAAAACCCCAGTTGTGACAGTCCCCTCTAGTTTATAAGGGTGAAATGATGTGGTCCAGAAGGTCCTGCATGATTTGTTTTTTCTCCAGAGTTGAATATAACCACACTCCTGAGCCCTGATCTGACCCTTGTCTGCTTCCCAACGTGGAGGTCTCTAGGAATTACCTGGGCCTGTTTGAGACCACATTGTAGGGCTGCTGGCTGCCTACACAGGGGGTGTAGAAGACAATTGAGATGAAACCCCTAACTTGTAGATGACCAAAGCCAAGCCAGCAGCATCCATTCACCTCTCCTTAGGAAAAAAACCCAGGTGTTTCCTGAAATCCTAAGTTACCTCTACACCACCTGTGCTCCTCTTCATGCACAGATGGGCCTTTGGCCAACCTGGTCTAGTGGAAGTTGTGGTGTCGCTGCCCATGCAGAGGGTTAGAACTAGATGACCTTTAAGGTGTCTTCCAAGCCAAACCACCTGACGTTTCCATGATCTTACTCTTCAGTGAGCTCCTTGGTGCATGTAGTAGCCTGCTCTTGGGAACTGTGTGTTTGGAGGTCAAGTATCTCCATGAAATTGTGACATCCAAGTGGCAAACCTAGATCCCAAACAGAAACAGAAGTTCTGGTGCAACCTCAAGCTTGTAGTGCAGGGGGTTCTAAAGAAAGGGAGAAGAAAAGTTCAGCCAATTCCAAGGGATGAATATTTTGAGCTCAGGGTTTTAAAATGAACTGAAAGAGGAACCTGATGTGCAACAATCTGCTTTTCCCATAGGCCTAGTTTCTGAGAGTCTTTGTTAGTCATTTCCTGCACAAAGCCAAGAACAGATTATAGCCAGAACCCTGACACTGTCGAAGACAAGGCAACAGTTCCCTGTTTGCAAGAACATTTGAGAATGTGACCTCCTTGGCTAACACCGAGGCAAGAGCTTTGGGGAAGGACCAGAGGCAGGCTCTATGCTGCACAGGCTCGTGAAGGCAGGCTCTGGTCCAGTTTTCCACGTAAGAATTCCAGGAAAGCTCGTGAGGATCCCAGCCTGGGGGTGGAGGCTGGCGAGCAGGAGGTGCTGGGAGTCTGCAGCCCGTCTGCTCCAGGGAAGTTCTCTGGGCTGCAGGAGGAAAGAAGGTCAGACTTTTCTGGGTGGGATTTTTGTCCTCCCTCCCCACCCCCCCTCACCCCTTCCTCACCCCCCTCAGACTAATCAGTGCCTTCCCTCATTGGTTTTGAACCTGTTGGTCAATTTGCACCAAATCTGATTGGGGAATCAAGGTCTTTGGGATATTAAGACCTATAAATATTGTGGGAAGAAGTGGAAGGAGGACACTGAAACAAGTGTCCCACTGAAGGAACCCAGCAGTAATAGTAATTAGGCACCTGGGAATCCCTATCACATCTTCCCCCAAACCTGCTTCCTCTTTGAGATCTCCAAGGACAATCTTAGTGTCTCTCTCCTCCAGATCTGTCCTGCATAAAGCCAGGAAGGAGGCATCTCCTTAGCTTTTGCTCTACCTCTGTACCTGCTCTTATACCCAGGCTGTCATACCCATCTCCCCACATGCATTCTTTCATCTCTTCAGTCCCTCATTTCTCTGTGCTCCCCCATCTGGCAGCCCAGCTATGGCTGCAAAGATCTGAAAAGCCTCATGTGGGGGACAGCTGAGTTGGTGACATGTCTGTTTTTCATCTCATCCCTCCAGCTGTGTGAGGGGGAAGGAGAAGCAGCAGAGGTTCCGTGATGAGCACGTCGTGCCCTGATTGCTGGAGCCAGCTTGGTGGCAGTTGGCACGGCAGGCTGCTCAGGCCTGAGGATGACGACCACGACGGGACTGACTGTGAAGCTGGAGACTTGAGCAAAGCCCCCATCACGCTGCTCATCTGCCTCTGTGGGCTGGTGGGCAACGGGGCTGTCCTCTGGTTCCTCAGCTCCCACCTCCGCAGGAGCCCCATCACCATCTATGTCTTCAGCCTGGCTGTGGCCAACTCCACCTTCCTCCTCTCTGTTGCCATCGCTCTTGTGACCTTCTACAGCCCAGGGAGCCTTTGTGACACGCGGAGCTCACGGGATGTGATGACTCTGTTGAACATCAACATCCTCCTCACCTTCACCGCTGGTGTCTACCTCCTGGCAGCCTTCAGTGCTGTGACATCCCTGTCTGTCCTTCTCCGGGCCCACTACTCCTGCCACCACTCCTGCCACCACTCCTGGAGCTTCCCAGTGCTCATCTGTGCCTTGCTCTGGGTCCTCTCCTTCCTCCTCACCATCACCCTCTACTTCTGCCCTGCACTGCTCATTGTCTTTGTCCTGAGCTACTTTGTCTCAGTGCTTACACTAATTCTTTCTGGTCTAACCCTGCTTTCCAGGATCTTGTGCTGTTCCTGGCAATACCCCCCAAGGATGCTCTGCTTCGTGGTCCTGCTGATTGTCTTCTCCTTCCCCTTCTTCACTGCTGATTTTGGTTACTGGCTCCTTCTACGGCTGTTTGATTTCTCTGTCTTTGTCTTTGACCCTTCTCTTCTACTTGCCTGCGTGAACAGCAGCATCAGCCCTCTCATTTACTTCTTGGCTGGCAGCTTCAGGAAGAAGTTCACACTCTCTGTTGGAGCTGCTTTCCAGAGGACTTTTGAGGATGTAACAGAGCAGCCAAATAGAGGTGAAACTCCTGCAGAAAACATGGTGGCAACAGCTCTTTAAACCACCCCTGGAAGAAAACGTTCTGGTGTTGGAGGTGTCCTGATAAGGATGATGGTTTTGGAATGAGCTGCAGCCCACTGAGCTGTGCTGGGTGGCACAGGAGATCCTGCCTGGAGTGGACCCTGAACAGCCTGGTGAAATACCCATCAAACCCCTTTTTTGAAGCCTTTCCTTTGAATCGGTCCCATCCAACAGCTCCAAGCTTTCCCTGCCTCCCAGCTGAGCTTGTTCTTCCCTGCACACCACAAAAATGGAGCCCTGGAGGCTCTTGCCTCCTGCCAGTGAGGAGTTTTTTTGAGTGTATCTTCTTATGAGCAGAGTGAGGGTGAATAAGAAGCAACAACTCCAGGGCAAACCTCGTGTGAGCATCTCCAGTGGGTGCTGACACATGGGAAGAACATGCTGGAGACTGGATGTTCAGCTGCGTTACCAGAGATCATGTGTTTGGGGTGGCTTTTCCCAAAATCCATCCCTTCTGTGGCACACTGAGCTTCATCCACGCTCCATGTGGGTCGCCTGCCTGCGAGGGATTGGGACTGGAACTGCCTGTGGTGGTTCCTCCCACGTTTCTCAGGGCTGTTTGGGTGGTTGGCTTGAGCAAACGCCATTTCGCAACCGTGACCCCGAGATCTCTTTCTGTTCCTGCCGAGTCTGTTCCTCATCTAGACAAAAAAAAAACAAACAAACAAGGGGAGAACGGTTAAATTGAAACAACCCCAAAAATTCAGCCCTGCCTGGAGACTCTGTAAGGACTGGATTTTCCATGTGAAAAAGGATACAGGGACAGGGCAAGAATTTTTATGGAGAAGACCCTGTTAGAACCATGAGGAGCAACTCCTTGTGCTATTGAGAAGCTTTGGGGGTTACACCAGGTCTTGTTTGCCTGTGAACTAAACCACCACCAAACCATCTCTTTGGAGCTGGTTTGATTTCCTACTGCAACTCCTTCGGTAGAAGCACGAGGGGAAGGTTGGGAAGATGGAGCTGGCAAGGAGGGGGTGGAGGGAGAAAAGGCCTCAGCAGTGCAGAACCAGGAACTGCTGATGGGATCCAGGATGGTGACAGAAGCTCCTCTGCCCTTTGGCTGGTCCCTCAGCCCAGAGCTGCATGTCAGGCTGGAATGAAAATCAATCACTTGGTGCAGCACAGGTGAAAAAAACCCATGAAAAATAAACCCATACAACTCTCTGGTGGCAACAAGAAGCTTGGGTGATAAGTGGTGGCCTGGGTGACTCTCCAGGCAAGGAAGATCCTGGGAAGCAGGAAAAGCACATGGGAGGATTGTGGTCCTTCTGCACCTGCTTTGGGAGACATTCCCTGGGTGATGGGAGCCCTCTCCAGGACAACACGTTGAAACTCATAAGGTTTTTCCTTTCCAAAGGACAGGAAAGTGGAAGGGAGGGAGAAAAAAGTCAGTTCCTCTCAACTCTGAAGTGTCCTGCCCTGTTCCTTAAAAACAACTCTGCTAATAAATGTTTCTGATATGTTTGATCTCATCTCATGTTTTCAAAGCGTGGGTCCCCATCCCTGGGTTGTACTTCAGCTTCTCTTTCTAAAAGCAGTGGCATATTAGTTATTTAGGCAGTGGGATAAGGATGGACAACCTCCCACTGGGATCTGGGGATGGAATACAGGCACCTCCAGCACCTGCAAATGGGATGATCTCCCCTGGCAGGCTGGCTGTCTCTTTAATTTTCCCAGCAGTCTCCCAGGTGCTGGGATGCTCTGAGGTCCTTTCTTACTGGTCTTTCCTCTGCCCTTCCACCCTACAAGAAGGGCACAGAGTCACAAAGTGGTGGGGTTGGAAGGGACCTCTGGAGATCATCTAGTCCAACCCCCCTGCTCGAGCAGGATCACCTACAGCAAATCCCACAGGAGCACATCCAAGTGGGTTTGGAATGTCTCCAGAGAAGGAGACTCCACCACCTCTCTGGGCAGCCTGTCCCAGGGCTCTGTCACCCTCACAGTAAATATTTGAACCTTACATTTAGTTTGGACCTCCTGTGTTCTAGTTTGCTCTTTGCTGCAGGTCCTCTCCTGCTGTTCCCAATGAAAGCTTTTAGCACATGTGGGCAGCTCCACTACCATGGTTTGGCTCAACTGGAGGCTTCTTACACTGAGATTCACCTCTGCTAACTTCAAACATCTCAGTGAGATGCTGTCTACTGCCTAGGTCCCTCCCAGCATGAATGAGGACAACTTGGCACTATCAACAGACACCTCATCCCAACTATTCCAAGCACCTACCTCAGGATGAGATGCACCATGGTCCAGAGAAACCTGTCCTCCTCACAAACAAGACAGAAACTTTAAAATGACACAAAATGAGCCATTTTCTGACAAAGTTCACCAGTGAGAAGCTGCAGTGAAGCCCAGTTGCTGTTCATCCAACAAACTTCAGGGTCAGTTACGTGGCTGGAAGCAAATTTAAAAAAAAAGAAAAAGAAAAAAGAAAGAAATCCAACTTAAATTTAGGAATAGGGACAAAATGATACCTGAAGTAGGTAGTCAGAAAAAGGCCAGTGCAATCAGGACTGGGGAGTGTATGGTTAGTCACTGGAAAAACTGTGTGGAGATGTTCTGCTCCTCCTGTGGATGGCCAGGTTCAGTGAGGGGCTTCCTCTTGCTGCTGAAGCTGAGGAACTAAAGGATGATGACAACTAAAGGATGGCCCCACTCCCCACCAACCCACACAGGCAGAAGAGCAGTGTGCTGCTCCTCATTTCTAGAAAGTTGAGTGGTCCATACATCTGGTTCTTTTCATTTCCATATTTCAGGCTCTTTTTGGTGCTGGACATGGGGAGTGAACTTGCTGTGAAATCTTTGTTGTGAGGGTGCAGGAATTAGTGTCTCTGACTTGCCAAGACTATCCGAGCTGGTAATCCCCAGCCTGACTTCACAGCACTGCCTGGAGCTGTGTCTGGGGAATGTCTGGGGAGCTGTGCCAGAGCCAGTTCCCATCTGACCCTGCAGAGGTTACATTTGGCCCCCATGCTTCTCTGTGTCATCAGAAACATGATCTTTGACTTCAGAGTTACCCTATGTTGTCTGACTCTTCAGACTGAAATATTTCCTTTCCACAGTTGGTGCCTTTTTTTGGTGATTTAGCTCCTCCCTTCTCCCCTTCCAGGTTTGGAGGACAGGATGTCAAAGCCTTGGCTGGAGTAAAGCAGAAGAGTCTGAAGCCTTAGTGCTGCTTTTGTCTCTGAGGACAAAACTTCTGTGGAGCTAGTGAAAAGGGAAACAAGTCCCTTGGGGGACATGATCAGTGTGACAGGAGCAGGGCTGGAGCAGATTCCCTGTCCCCTTGCAGGGACTGTGTTTTCTGGTGCCTGTGAGAGCCCAGCAGGGAGGTGACAGTCTCCAGGACATGATGTCTCATCAGCCAGCCATGGTCTGCTGCAACAAGCCATGTTCCCCTGGAGCAAAGCTGGAGAGCAGTACCTTGGGTGAAGTCCTTGCCACAAAGATGAGTGCTTGGAACATGCCATCAAAGCCCCCAGCACCACCAACCCCAGACTGGTTTGGATTGGAAGGAATCTTAAAGACCATCTAGTTCCAAACCCTGCCATGGGCAGGGACACCTCCCACCAGCCCAGGTTGCTCCAAGCCCCATCCAACCTGCCCTTCAACACTGCCAGGGATGGGGCAGCCACAGCT